GGAGCGGCCACTGCGCTCCAGACTGGGCGACAGAGTGAGACTCCGACTCAAAAAAAAAAAAAGAAAAGAAAGTCAGTCTGCGGTCTTGGTGGGGTGGAGAGGGCAGTGGGAGGCCCCAGATTTGAGCGGTTCAGCAGAGCCAGGCCCACCTGGCCAGGGTGGACACGGCCGTGCTCTCTCTCCTCCTCCTCCCTGCTCTCCTGCATTTCTGCCGAGAAACCATGTCGACTTGTCTCCGCAGGCGCTGGGAGGATCTGGATGGACGACGTCGCCTGCAAGGGCACAGAGGACACCATCTTCCGCTGCAGCTTCTCCAAATGGGGGGTGACAAACTGTGGGCACGCTGAGGATGCGGGGGTCACGTGCGACCAACACTGAAAGGAGGCAGCCCAAGGTGGAGACCCTGCCCCGAGCCTCCCTCCGGCATCCCTGGAGAGGGGCACGGCTCAGGGCTGCCCTGGCTCCAGCTGGGCCCTGCCCAGCCCAGCACCCAGCTCCCACACCCCTCTCCCAGGACCGTGGAGGCCCTGTCCTCATTCTCCTGTCGGACATGTGCTCCCAAGTGCGACGCCAGGCTCTTCTGTCCTCCCACCAGGGTTCCTGGGCCGCTTTGCCCAGCCTTCTGAACACCATGCATCGGGCCTAACAGCCCTGTTCACTGGGTCTGTCTCTTACAGCCATGTGCTGAGAATGTGTCAGACAAGGGGAGCAGTGCACATGGAGGCAGTCTGGACCATTTACTATGCCGCTAACTCCCCAAGAGTGTCAGCATCTCCCCACCCCCTGCAAGTGGCAACACTGAACGATGCATTTCCCCCTCTCCTCAGCGTCTCCACGCCATGTGTCCATCCGGGGAAGTAACACGGAGAAGCCTGCTCTAGGAGCAAGGGGGATGCAAATCCCCGGCAGGGACCCAGCTAGACTTGGAGAAAGGGGATGGAATTAACACCAAATGATTTGGAGAAAGGGGATGGTGTGCTAATCCATTTAGCCACTCTGCCGCATTGGTACGAGGCACGTCCGTCTGGGTAGGATCTTACCTCCAGGTAGCAGCACTCAACTGACCCATTCACCTGGCCCGAAAGACAGAATGATTGAGACTGTGTTTCTACCCAACCTGAGCAAGAAGCTTGGGTCCAATATATGTGACTAGTACAGCGCCTACTCCAGAGCCTAGAGTGTGTGAGCGCAGGAGGAAACGTGATTGGCTTCCAGGCCAACTGTCGTGTAGGAGGAGAGCTGATGTGAAGGGCGACACAGAGCTGCTCTTGTCAACCCAAGTCCAACGCTCTGATCAGGCCATCAGGGTTGAATCCAAGTTACCTGTGTCTCAGCCGTTTGGAGGTGATCATATCACACCTTCCAGGCCTCTTCCAATGTGATTCTGTGGTCAGGAAAACACAAGTCCTGATGGGTCCTATGGGGTGGAAGGAGGTGAAGATGCCCTGTAACCTCTGGGGGCAACGAGGGGCCATGGACCCCTGCAGATCTGTGATGTGCACCCCTCTCCCCGGTGACAGGGAGATCATATTCTGCTTTTTACATGAGGAGAAGGTCAAACTAGGCCCTATACATATTCTAGAACTAGGGTGCTTCCGTGGTGGCAAGTGAGCTCAGATCCACCTCACTTTGGGGGAACCACAAACTCACAGTCAAGCCTCAGATACACGGTCACCTGTCTTATCAGGTGAGCACCGTCCTGCCTGGGGAGAGGAAGACCCGGGCTCCTCGAGGTGTGGGACCAGCGGAATTCCTGGCTGACAACTAAGTCCATACACGCCCTTGGTCATTCTTGCTTAAGGTACGCTTGCTGCCCGTTAATGTCCCAATGATGAGAAACTCCTTCAGACCAATGGCTATGTTTACATAACACACAGCTGCTCATGCATCTCTCCAGAGCCAATATATGTATGCATATATAAACATAGCACTCTCTACCGCATAGCTTGGCACATCGCAGTTTGCGTTTTAAAAAAAAAATACTAAAGGTGGAAAAAATGTCACATTGAACAAAATAAATTCCCAACTCGGTTCTGGCAAAGAATCTAGTCGTCCCATCGACAAATAACTCTCACTTGGTCTTTTCATTTGGGAAAATGGAAGTCTTGTTTGATATCAAATAAAAACAAAGTTAAAAAGTGTTTGAATCTTAAAAATGAGCATCTAGTTTACATACCTACTTAAGAGGACATGGAGATAACCATGGACCTGTCTTTCAGGGACTAAGGGAAATTAGGCCTGGCCTAAAACACATCAGACCTTTTGTAAAAAAAAAAAAGAATTTCAATAAAGTGAAAAACATGTCACTAGCAAGCTTTCCATCAAATTCTTTCTCATGAAAACCTGGTGAGTGTGGGGAGGGTGGGTGAACTGGGATGCTCCGATCACTTTTCACTGGAGCGTGGTAGCGTGGGCAGCTTATGAAAAGCCACCTGGCTCCTTCTGGAGGAGGTCAGATGCAGTGGCCCATGCCTGTTATCCCAACACTTTGGGAGGCTGAGGTGGGACGATTGTTTGAGTCCAGGAGTTCAAGACCAGCCTGGGTAATGTAGCCAGATCTAGTCTCTACCAAACAAATAGAAAAGTTAGCCAGGTGGTGCATACCTGTAGTCTCAGCTACTTGACAGGCTGAGACAAAAGAATTGCCTGAGCCTGGGAGGTCAAGACTGCAGTGAGCCATGATTGTGCACTGCACTCCAGCCCTAGGCGACAGAGTGAGACCCCAACTGTAAATAAATAGATACATAAATACTAAAATTGCTTCTGGACGATAACACAGTCGTAAACGAGGACATGCTGGGACATGAAGTCCCAAGCCTTATTTGGCAGCCATAGGAAATGAGTCCCAACCAACAGAAGGATAATCAAGGCCTTACAAGACAACTGCTTTTGCATTCAATGGAGAAAAGAGCACTTGTCTAATTCCTCACATCTCCAGAGCTCTCATCTGGGCATGTGTTTCCCTCCAGAGTTCCATTCATGTGTAAGATCATCCAGAGTTGGGCACCAGGTCATCAAAGTTACTGGTCTCATCATCTAACGAGAGGCAGGACTTCCAGGCACAGGACCTAAGCAGTAAATGACAATGGCCCAGGTCACTGCACGGTCCTGACTACATGCTCAAAGTTGGCACCTCTGGGAACACCTAGTGGCCCAAGATTGCTATGGGCCATGATAGTTTGCTAAGTCAACAGAGAAAAGTTGATGTTCTGGAAACCCACAAAGAAAGCACTTTTTTTCTTCCTGTGAAAGGCCTGGTAGTACCCTCCCCCACCCAAAGCTCTGTGGTTCTGTCAACAGGCCCTTAGAAAAGAGCAGTGATCTCTCTTTTACTGCCCTCTCTAATGTCTAAATGACACCATGATTGCTCTCATCTTAGGTGCCTGTGAGGACCTGCTTTGGGACCTACGTGTGCCATAGTAAAATGCAGCCACTCATTGACTAGACACATCTGGAGGGGGTTACCACTTTCTCAACCACAGGCACACCTTAGTTTCTTCAGCAACGTTGTCTGATGACAATCAGGTATTCTAACATTTCTATAAAGCGTCTGATGTGTGAAATCACTTGTCTTCTGTTCTTAGAACAGCTCTTCTTCGACCCTCCACAGAACATTTCTTCTTAACAGAAAAGTTAGGACTTGAATCCAAGAAATCTTCAGCACCACGCTCTATGAAATGTAAGCAACAATAGGGCTAGGATTCTGAAAGGTCAACTCGAAGGAGGTGAAGTGAAGATCATAAATCAATTACATTAGAATACAAGGTATTGGAGCCCTTGAGTTCTGTTAATATGTCGATAGAAATAAACAGCTCTATATTCCATTACCTACATTCAAGTGACTTCAATGCACCATCCAAAAAGAGTAAGCCCACAGTACACCCGTACACCCTTTAACTAGGACCAGCCCAGACAGATCACAGACTCCCTGTGATACTCACTTGACTCTCGAAAGAGGCTGGAGACTTCTCCCCCCTGCCCAATCCTGGATTTCGCAGCATTTAAAGGAGTAGGGGAAAAATAAATTGGTGGCATTCCTATGATCTCTTCACCTGCTACAACATCCAAGGGGTTCACCTGTGATCCAAAAGACTGAGTTTCATACTTTTTCTTCCCATATTACTCAGCACCTTTGGTCATTCTGAAACTTTCTAAAATCTTCTCTCTTGGCAAAGAATTTCAAACCAAACAATTTTTCCATATAAGTTCCTTTCTCTCTCAAACCAGTTGCTTATGCCCATCGTGACAAATGGAGTAATATTTCTTGAATCAAGATTAAGGGTCATTTACCATGTGCCAAACTTATTTCCTGAGTTGTCTAATAATAATCAGGCAAATATCTCATTCCGTCCATGTGCCTCTCAGATGTGGTTATGCATGAACATAGAAAACCAAAATGTCAAGAAACGTGTCTTTTTTGTTTGTTTGTTTGTTTTTGAGTTAGAGTCTCACTCTGTAGTTCAGGCTGGAGTGCAACGGTATGCTCACAGCTACCTCAGCCTCGGCCTGCTGGGCTCGGGCCATCTTTCTGTCTCAGCCTTCCAAGTGTAGTTCCAAGTAGCTGGAATTACAGGCATGCACCTCCGTGCCTGGCTAATTATTTGATTTATTATAGAGGTGAGGTCTTACCAAGTTGCCCAGACTGGTTTCAAACCCCTGGACTCAGGCAATCCTCTCGCCTCTGCCTCCCAAAGTACTGGAATGAGAGGCCAGAAATGTACCTTAAAGGTCATTATTTTGAAATCCTTCTTGGGGCAGTAGGGGGCCAAGGGCAGGGAGGTTTATCTGCATTTGCACCAGTGGGGTGGGCCAGAGGGAAGTAGGGTCAGACTGGGATAGGAAGTGGAACGGGGAGGGAGGAGGAGCTTAATAGGAGGAAAACAAGGGTGGGAGTTGAGTTTGTTAAAAATCTGGAACCTAGCCGGGCTCGGTGGCTCAGCCTGTAATCCCGCACCTTTGGGAGGCTGAGGTGACTGGATTGCCTGAGCCCGTGGCTTCGAGACCCGCCTGGGCAGTGAGACCTCATCTCTATAATAAATCAAATAATTAGCCAGATTCCTTGTCTAAAAAGAAGAATTTTCTTTTTTTTTTGAGTTGGAGTCTCACTCGGTCACCCAGACTGGAGTGCAGTGGCCGCTCCCGGCCACGGCAGCCTCAACCTGCGGGGCTCCGGCAATCCTTCTGCCTCAGCCTTCCAAGTAGCTGGAAGTACAGGCGCGCGCTACCATGCCCGGCTAATTTTTGATTTATTGTAGAGACGAGGTCTTGCCAAGTTGCCCCGGCGGGTCTCGAACCCGCGGGCTCAGGCAATTCACTCACCTCAGCCTCCCAAGGCGTGGGATTACAGGCTGAGCCACCGAGCCCGGCTAAAAGAAGAATTTTCTAGTATGTGGTTGTGGTGGCTGTTCTGTATACTTAATTGATCCCCACTGAACACTCTGCCATTATTTAGGGTCACCTCT